GCTACTAATAATCGTTTTCGTTTAGCCATATCCTCGATATTTAATATAATTTCATTTAATGTATGCATAATTTTTGCTGCATGATATCTCACTTGTGGATTACTACGGATCTCCGATTCTGTTTCTATAACTTTTACCAAGCAAACTAGTCAAAACAGAATCCATTGCTACACTCGCAAACTGCAAATAAAATATAAAATAAAAGATATATAAACCGACTTAATAAACAATAGGCTCATCTTTTTCTCTAACAGTAACACACTTGTTGGTTACTTTGCCTTTGTGACTAAATAAACTGAACATGTCTATGATAGTTCAGTGAGAAAATGTACTTTTTCTCAACAAATTGTGATCAACTCTCTTACTCTCAGTTGATATGAAACAATATTTCTGTAAATATTTGGTTCGATTAGCTATTTTATTTAATCAACCGCTCGACCATGTTGCTCTGCTAGCGAGTATAATTCCGTTATATTTTTGTTTTGTTTCTTTTATGATTCTCAAATCGAGAAACATCCAGAGCTCTGTAACGTCTCAAAGTAAACCTATAGTTTCTAAACAAAAGAACATGTAGAATGTGCGAAAGTCTCAGAATCTTCAACACGGTTTTCTCTTTGATATGAGACGTTGCAGAGCGCTGGACGTTTCTTGATTCGAGAATTATAAAAGGAACAAAACTAAAAATAAATGTAATGAAATTATACTACGGTAGCCGAGTAACATGGTCAAGTCGTCAAGTTAATGATGAAACACTTATTCAACCATTAGGGAAACAGAAAGGTAAAGGATATCCAAAGAAAGTTAACACAACTTTTCATTTGTAAATAAGCTGTTTTTCTTCACATTGTACATATTTTGTTGGTTAAGAAATGAATAATCTAAAGGATGTTGATCACAATTTGGTGATAAAAAATATTCATACCTTGTCCATTATTTTACAGACTTCGATTTTATTCTTCTCCTCTAAACTATTCAGTATTTTTTGATGGCGATTATTGTTTTCAGAATATATATTTACTTACCTCAAAATAACATGGTTGTACTTCATAATTAAAATGTATTCTGCCTAATGCTACTAATAATCGTTTTCGTTTAGCCATATCCTCGATATTTAATATAATTTCATTTAATGTATGCATAATTTTTGCTGCATGATATCTCACTTGTGGATTACTACGGATCTCCGATTCTGTTTCTAATTTAGCAGCAAATATCCACAATGGTTTCAATTCTGGATGATTTCGCAATAAACTACGATCGAAATAAACATCGATGTAAAATGAGTGCCAAAAAAAAATAAGAAAAGTAAAAACACTTACTAAATCATAAATCGGAGGCCGGCTTCTTCATAGTAGTTTGCGCATACTTCTGTCCATATACCTCTGATAGTAGCAAATAGTTGATCTTGAGATAAATTAGTTTGAGATGGTGAGCAGCCCATAGCTTTTTTTCAAACTATATCGAATGTAGTAAAAGTAGATGTAAGAATTTACAATTGGAGAGTTGTTTATTAATAGAGTATATAACGGGTGGGCCAGAAATCATGACATATTTTTGTTCTCTTTTCTTTCGAACATAACTGAGATTGGAAGATTCTAAACTCATTCTATAGAGTTTTCTGCTCTATAAAATCCGTTAACGTCTTTCAGTACATATTATTTCATTATTTTAAAAAATAGTGCAGACTACGGAGAGGTAAGAAGAATAACTGCGACGAAAGGAACAGGCTATAATTATTTTTGTACTTGACCTAATTTATTATTTGATAACGCTTCTGTTAGCTATTCATCACAGGTACTTTGCGTAACGAATTCGCCTTCATTTAATTAATCCGCATTGAGAAATAAAATTTTTCCTAACATTTTGCTACTAAGAACGGATGATTCTGAAATGGTGGGTTTATTCATGAACTGGTCCCATCACCATTTTGTTCTTGTGGAGAAAAGGAAAGCACTACTCATTATTTTTTATTCTAATATTCTTACGACCAGCGGAGGAACGAGCTTTTCGAAAAACTGAAAGTGCTGTTGAATTGCGATAGAATTCACCTTGATCAGCTGCTTTCAAGAGACACAACAATTAGACAACTGCCAGTTGAGTAATTAATTGAAGTCTTTTCAGAAATACTGCACCTTATCAAATGAACTGGCTCAGAGGCGGCAGAGCCGTGCAGACCATGGATGCTTTGGCACCACAGATCTTAAAAAATTTCGTTGTCTTCCAGCAGAAACTTATTTTTTGTCTTGACGTAGACTCATTTTTTGTAGACTCATTTTTTGTAGACTCATTTTTTAATGGATATTTTTTTGATTACTCTGTTCCTTTTTTTCTCATGGGCGTACAATGGGGCTTGCCTCAATTTACCCGCATTTTATGGCTATCCCATGTACTGAAAATCGCATAAAAATCGGCAATTACCCGTGAAAAATCATACGATTAATCGTGCGCTTAATCGCGATTGATTGCCGATTTTTTGATGATTTTCAGGTGATTTCAGCGATTAATCTCGATTAATTGACAATTTTTTAATAATATAATATATAAATACATATTTTTTTCTGATTTTTTATTCTTTATTATGTATAATGACACGTACATCACCCAGCAACGACCTTAGCACTAGCTGAAGTCAGAGCCTTTCCGACTAATCGATTTTAGACATTGCCCAGATACCAGCTGTTCACTGGTATGACTCTTCAGCTTAAAACTCTAAGAGACTATATATAGAAGACTCTTGACAACTCCGTTTTACTCTAAATAAAAAGATGATCTCAATAGAAGTGTATTCCTCGTTGAAATCGAGTTTCTTATATACATACTTTAGTGCAAAATAAAACGATGATTAACAATAACCATTTAATCGCTTAAAAACAACAGTTAATCGCAATTAATTGACGGTTTTTAAAAAAAATAAAATCATCGGAATCGCCAATTAATCGTAATTAATTTGCGATTTTTCAAGAATCGCGATTAATTGTTAAAAACGCCGCGATTTCGTCGACATGGGATATTTAAATAAAAAGTTCTTCTCAACAGTGACGTATGAGTCGTTGTGATTGTCGAGGGTATTTCCTGCAAAGTAACGGCATATACAACATTACTTACATAATTATATCCCTTAAATCACGATTTTCAATTAGTCAACGGAGAATATAGGCCAATTATCGCGTAATATTGATGAGCGAACAACGTCAACAGACGAACGTCGGAGATAACCAGAAATCTAAAAAGCACAATGAATTAGTTTTGCAGCCTAAATAGAGCCATTATGTTAAATTTTGTCTATTAACGATATAATTCAGGACGAATATGTTTTTGTGCCTGTCTACTTCGTTTTATGCCCGTTTATCAGTTTTTGTGCTCCATAGGGCACATAAAAATGTTTTTACACTCTGTGCCCGGAAAAAGAAATGCGTCCGGTTTTGATAGACTAATGTACATAGATTTGTGCCCGCTTTTGTACAAGATGCATAGATTATTATATAGGTTAGAGTTTATTATACAATTGATAAGATAGTAACAGCTGCTGTTACTATCTTATCAATTCTAAAACTTCTGCATTCTAAAAAAAAAAGTATTTTAAGATCCCAAAACGGGCTTTTATTCGACAAAAAAAGTTTAAACGTTTTAGTTTCATTCCGAAAACACGAAAAAATGGTTTTTAATTGTTGATAAAACCTTTGGATTTCTTACAATACGTTACGTAACCCCACACGTATTTCTCCAGATAATAAAGCCTTAAAAAGTTTCTCATTTTTCAACGAAACCTAAAAAGGTTTTTCAAAAACCATTTCTCTGAATAAATATTAAACCCCAGCCGTTTAATGCTTTCGCGTCTATAGGGTAGGGTTTTTATGAGGAAATGAAAAAATGATTGAGTTTTATAAAATACTGTGCAGGGTTTTTGAATTATCAAAAGATTTTTTTCAGTTTTCCGGAAACCATCTAAGATTTACTTTAGTTTTCTCAAATAGAAAGCGTATTTCATAATACGGAGAAGGATGTTTCTTCTGATTGAGAAAACCGAAAGTTAGAAATGCGTTTTTCTTGGAAACTATTCTACAGGCATACGTGCCGCCCCGGTGTCCTCTTTCGAATGGCGAAAGCCGCAGGTCCCTGTCCCTTTTGGTTAAAAAGTTATTCAAAAGATATCGGCGGACACTAAACTTTGGCGGCGATAGTAGTAATCTCAGTTTTTTTTACATATTTGCTTTTTATTTTCTCATGTCTGTATGTGTTAACGTTCGGTTGGTGATAAAGAACTTTTTTTTCATCATTTTTTCACGTTATGGGTGTCAATCACCTTTTCTCTGAAACGTTTTTTTTTCTACTGTAATCTTTGTAAATAGGAAATCTTCAGAATACTTTTTGCTCTCTCTTTTTCTCTCTCCTCCCCGTAAAAACCTCTAGACTCACTGAGATAATGAATACGAACATTTTTATTAGTATTTATTCTACGCAAATTCATTAATATATGAAATGTAACACAACATCACTTTATTATGTACAAACAAAACAATTTTTGTGAGTAGAAAAGAAAAGTTAAAAAACATGAGTTACACAAAACAAGTAAGCACGCATCAACATCGGTACATCACACTTGAAAGTGTTTGTAAGAACTCTTGATACTGTAAGAACTCTCGATACTGTTC